TGGGGGCCTTTGTGCACTGGAGGGAAGGCAGAAGGCCATTGGTGGCCAGGGGTTGGAGAGAAAGTCGCACCCAATGGGATCCCTGCCCTGAGCCCCTCCTCATCCCAACCCTCTCTCACCCCCCCCAGACCTTCAGCCTCTTGCCCTGCCCCCCACTCCCCAATATTCCCAAGGCCCTGCCATGACTCCTGCATCCCCTGCATTGCCAGTCCCTGCCCTGAAAGACCTGAGCAATGCCGGGTAAGTCTTATAGTGGACTATAGGAGAGAGAAGAACCCTGCAGAAGGGTCACTTTTGAACACAGTGGCTGAGAGCAAAGTTAGGAGCCAGAGTGTAGTGTGGTCTACTGCTCAAATGGTCATACTTAAATGCCCGATTTTAGTCGTGCAAGACTAAGCTCTATGAGATGTGCAATATTTAAAATGCCTGCAGTTAAAATACTTTTCACTCCACATGGGGAAAATTAATTAGATCTGAATTTTCAGTTTAAGCAGCTTTGCATATTTATTTTCTCACAAAATTAGAGAAGTGTTATGCTTTCAACATTTTGCTGTAGAATCTTCCACTGAGGTGACCCCCCACCCCCACTCCAACGTTGTGTTGAAGTAGACAAAGAAGAAAAATAAGTGCAGGCACAGGTTTTCGTTTACATATTTTTTTTTAACTGTGCTTACAGGATATTCAGGATTTTTTGTGTATCCTGTGATAAGCAGGCTTGATGAATATTTCATCTTAAAAATGTCACTGCTTTAAAATTTTAAATGAGCTGATGTTTATGGAAAAATAGCTATTCTTGGAGCAGGTCATGTTTTTTGTTTCTGTGCCAAAGTCAATCCAGTTAGACCTGCTTCTATTTTTAAAACATTGCATTTATGCATATTGTAGAAAATGAAGTGTTCACTATAAATACTCTTAATATCTTTGTGTCTGTGCGCTATACATTGTTCAATAAAAGGAATGTAGCATACAAAGGGACCCTGTGTTTTTTCATCTTGAAAAAACACACCCGTTTTGACAGGCTTTGTATACTGAAGGTTACATTGTCCGTTGTGTTGAAAAAATAACCGGTAAGCAGGCAATAACACTTACATTAAAAGTCTGATGCTTGCTGCTTACATTAAGAATATGACTCTCAACTGGCACAAAGAAATTGTGATTATATTGAAGTAAGTGCTTGCTGTCCATACTATTGACTTAGCTTGCTCTGCAGGTTGACTCTGCCACTAACTCCCTATAGAACTGTTGTCACGGTAGAGAGGACTCTTGCTGCTAGATTCCCTGAGACTCTTCCACTCTGAGGGTGTGGAACAAGTCTCTGGTGTGAGCTGAGAGTGGTGAATGTGTATGATGTCAGAGGTTGCGTATATGAAGAAGGGTAGGTTTAGAGATTTCACAATTAGCATGAGTAGTTTTTGAGATGTGACTATGCTGGGTGCAGTGTGTGAAACCTGAGATCAGAGGACAAGTTGAGGGAAAAACAAGGAACAAGCTTTAAGAGCTGGAAGGGCTAGTGGTGTTAGTGAGGGAGTTGTTTGTGGGATGATTGGGAGGTTCCAGTTCTTTCTCCTTTTGAACATGTTTATAATGTAAATCCTCTGAATAAGCATATGAAAATACCAGTTATGATCTTTTGTCTGTCATTCAGCATGAAGTTTGGAGTCCTTGTGTTGAACACAGAGTTGTCTCTGGACAGAGCCTGTTTGATCAGGCAGCCATGATTCAGATGGTACAGGGTGGAGAGCTTTGGGAAAACACTTCCAGTAAATAGAAATAGGATTCAGAAGTGAGGGAAGAATGAGTCACAAGAGAAATTGTCTTAAGTGAAATGAGAGTTAGAATTGTCATTACCTTCATTATATCAAGTGATTGTTTAAGCGAGGAGCTGCACTAGAAATGGCTTCAAATATAACTAACACAGATTACTACATTTCTAAGTATACAGTAAATTTAGAAGTGGTGGAATTGGGTGGAGGAAATCTTGAATTGGATAAAGTTGATTTTCTTGAATCTCCTTCCAGTGTACATATACAAACTCTTTATTCCATCCCCTTAGCAGGTGGATGGTACTTCGTCTTACTTCAAGGCATATCATGCCATCATTTTTGTCATCCTATTTAAAATGGGAGTTCTACTGTGTAAGTGGAGATACCGAAGTCCCAGTTAGAGGAAAAAAGTAGTATAATTTAAAAAAACAAGGGCCAATTCATTGGTAGGTGCAAGAAAGTCACAGATTGTGGCTGTCTGACTTCTGATGAAATCCAGAACACACTGTAAAATGAATCTCTTATTTTGGAGAAAATAAATTGAAGGAGACTTGTTATATCATAAATCCATTTTAAATTAGCTAGTTTCATTTTGTAATATTTTACTTAGTTAATATCTGCTAAAGAGGGGAGATGGGAATCAGACTCATTTTCTAGTTCTTTCATAATATAAAAGGAAGTCTGAAAGTGAGATTTTTATATGAGTTTGTTTTATATATTAGAAATGTCATCAGTATAATTTTGTCTTCCACAGCTTTGTCAGAGGTTTCATTGGAAGGCTAAAGAATTACAGTGGGAACTTACTGAGCCCTTAGTTGAAGGGAAAATGATTTAGAACCTAAAACAATCTTTCCTCTCCGTTATGGGCCATTTGTTTTGAGTTAAATAGGCATTAATGAAAAACTGAGTAAACAGGTAATAGTTGTTGTTTTAGTTGCTGAGGTTTCACTTTCTTAGTACTAGTAGGAGTCGGTCATTATTAGTTCTCAGTATGGCCTTGCAGGAAGAATAAGGTGTAGAAAACTTTCCAGGCCTTCCCTATATATCATGAAGGGCAGAAAGGCATAACTAACTTGCCTTTCTGTGCAGAGATCGCTGTTCAGGTCTCTGCAAACATGTATGTACACTCTCCTTTGTTTTTCCCATTAGATATGGTAAGGATCTTTGGCCAGGTCTACTCTAAAGGGAAAGGTAGAATCATGATACGTAACTCTAGCTATGTTTATTATGTACTTGGGGTTGACATACCTTGATTAGCGTTTCCCTGCCATCCCCAAAGCAGGAGACAGATGGGAGCAATTTGGTCCAAAATGTTAGGTATTGTAGTCACAGGCTTTTACAAAAACTGTTCCAAATAGAAATGCTTAAGATGCATGTTGGACCTCTCTGGCCTGGTACTCTCCAGACCTGACTAGTTCCAGATGAGGGATTTTCTCCAGTGCTGCTATTTCAAAATGACAACAGATTGGTCCTTATTGATCTGGCATCCTCAGAACCTGATTGGTGCCCAGATGAGGGATTATGCCAGACCAGGGAAGATCATTTCTGGGTCCCCCCAGCCATGGCCTCGCTGCCAGCCTCCCAGCTGGCTTCTCCCTGCCACCAGCCCCTTCGTGTGCAGGGCTCCCGATCCCACCGTGGTAGCTCCGCTGCCGCATGCATGCACAATCCTGTGACTGGGCTCCCAGTCCTGCAGAGCAGCCCCCCTGCCTGGGGGTCCAGCTTTGCTGGACAGCCTCACTGGACAGTTCCAGAAGGTAGCAGCAGGACTACTGGACTCTTTGTTGTGCCACTGGGCAGCAGCCCTACCGCCAGGCAGCCCCGCAGGGCAGCCACCCAGCCTCCTAATCCCATCAGGCACCTGGTTGTACTGCTAGGCAGCCCCACTACCCCCTGGTCTTGCTAGGTGGTTTTGCTGCAGGGCAGCAGCTCTGTTACTCCAATCATGCCAGACAGTCCCACTGCCTTCTGGTCTCCCTCCCCTCTCTGCAGTCTTGCCACCGGGCGGCAGCCCTGCTGCCAGGCTCCCCGGGGTTTCGCTGTCATGGGGCAGCCGCTGCTGGGCTCCCAGCCACCAGCCCTCCCCTGGGAGACTCTGGTCCTGGAACATCCGTGCTCCTTGTGGACCAGGGATGTTGCGGGGCCAGAGAATCCCAGTTTAGAGAGGTTCAACCTATATTACTTAAAGCAATTCCATTGAGAGGATTCAGTATACTCCTTCATTATCTATATTGCAGCATCGTACTTAAGCTTGAAAATCAGAGAAACAAGTGAGATTTAAGAGTGATTTTTCCGAGCCAAGCTGAGAGGCAAACGAATAGGGAAAAGTAAAATAAGTTTTGTAAAACTTGTTCGTATATGTTGGAGGTTGAAATAAAAATAAAGAAGTGGACCCTTTCACATTAATGTCATGTTGCACTTTTTCATATTTGAATCAATTAAACCACCCCTTGGAATTCAAAAACCTGTAGCATTATGATTTTTGTTTTCTGTTGTTCAGGTGTCTTAAATATTAGAAATAGGCAAATAGAGGAGTAAGTTAAGTTATTGCATTATTACAAGACATTGAGATTCTGCCTATAGGTGAAGATAACTTTTGACTGAATGCTTTTCTGTATAATCGGTGACACTTTTCTTAAATGCTAGACGCATGATGTCAGTGCTGCTAAATGTACACAAACACGCCCTTTCCCATGACTCTTCAAATAAAAGTTCAAAAGCTCTAATCATAATAAAAATCCTACTTGATCTAAAAGTTTTAGTGCTTTAACATATGCAGAAGTAAATATGGTAATATGCAATCTTAAAAGAAACCTAAGTATCTTGATATAAACTTGAAATACAAGAAGCATGTTCTACTATGTGTACAGATTTTCACTTGGTAAAGTTAATTTGACAGACAGTGAAGCACTCTGTCGGTATGTTTCAACATACCCTTCCCACAGTTCTAAAACATGAACCTTCTGAAATAAAAGATTCTGTTGTCTTGGAAAATTAAAAGCAAGTCCTTTCCTTTAAGGTAATTCTGGCATACTTCCAGAAAAATGAATTTATGCATTGAACTTGTCTCACAAAATTAGCATTCATGTGCATGAGCAGCAGAGTTCTGAGAGCATTTATACTAGTAGCGCTGTTAAATTCTGAGCAGGAGAAATATCCATGATTTGTACATTTTGACACTTAGTTATTTTAATTTTAAACTATACTGCATCTTGCAAAATAAAGTCAACTGTTTACCTTATAATCCTGTGCTGCAGGCAGACTTTTTGTTTTGTTTTTGTTCTTCAGTGTTGGACTCCTACTTCTCAGGGTAAACTTCAGTGTATCCTGAAAAGAATGAGTTTGACCCATTTGCTTAAGTAACACGTCTTGTGTGCTTTTCTGTTAAATAGTTTCTGCATGCCTGCTCCTCCTAGTTCTTAAATAATCTGGAGAGTGCATCTTGGAGAGCTGTTATGAGAGAAACTGACTCCTTGCCCTGTAGTACTACAGTAGAAGAGCAAACTGGTTACTTGACTCTTGGGGAATCTGGTTCTGCCTGTTGGAGACCCAGCCTTGCTTTAGAGGAGGATCATTGCATTATAATTGGCCAATAGCAGAGAGTTCCTGTGACCAGTTTCTTGGATACATTAGTTGTAGGCTAGAAATAGAGTAAAGGCTATTAAGTATAATATTCATATATTAAAGGAGATTTAAGTTCTACCATGAAGAGGGGGTGAAGGCGCTCAGACCTTTTCACAAAACTAGTTTGGAAGAGTAACCTCACTCAGTCTTAAGTCTTTTAACTTGGTTCAGAAATTCAGTCCAAAGATAACACACCACATCTATTCTGATTTTAATTAGCTCTGATGTCAGAATCCCATCTCTACATCCTGTTGTTTTCTCTTTTGGGCTTGTCTTGAAGTAGTTCATGTCTGGCTACTCTTTCGGCTCTATTGATCTTTTTTTTTTTAACTTCTCCAGGTGGGTATTTTAGGGTTTTAAGTTTTAGGGTTCGTCTACACAGCAGGGCTAAAGTCGAATTAAGCTACACAGCTTCAGCTACGTCAATTGCGTAGCTGAATTAAAAATATCTTAGTTCGGCTTTTGGCGCTATGTACACAACAGGAAGCCGAAGGAAGAACACTCTTCCTTTGACTTCCCTTACTCCTCATGAAATGAGGGTTTCCGTGAGTTGGAGTAAGAAATCCTCCAGCTCACATTATTTTGAAATAAAGGCTTGTAGTGTAGAAACACACTGTGTTATTTCAGAATAACGTCTGCTATTCTGAAATAACGCTGCTGTATAGATGTACCGTTAGGGTGTGTCTACACAGCAAAGTTATTTTTGAATAACAGCTTTTATTCTGAAATAACTATGTGAGCATCTACACAGCAATTCCGTTACTTTGAAATAACATATGGCTTATTCCGACTTTTGTAAACGTCATGCTATGAAGAATAACGCCTATTCCGAAAGGCAGAGGCAAAGTGGGAAACCTGGGGCGAGCAGGGACTTAAGTAGTCCCCACTCACGCTGGGTCCGACTGCTGCGTGGGTGGTTCTTACTACATTTGAAAGCAGAGGCGCAGAATAGCAAGCACCCAACCCCACCCCCTATTAACTAATCGAGTAGTCTATGGAAATTCCATTAACTACTCAATTAGCTGATTAATTGAAATTTAATATCCCTAGTGTATTTGCGCGGGGCTCTTACTATATTTAAAAGGCAGAGGCGTCCTAGTTGGGACCACGGTGTGAGCAGGGACTGCGTGAGTTCCCGCTCGCCGTTTCCTCCACTGTGCCTCTGCCTTCCCTGCCCCCATGTGGAGACAGTGCTGGGGGAAACTGGTTTTTAAGCTGGTTCCTCCCCCAGCATCAGCTTCTGCTTCCCTTCCTTGCTGCCTCTGATACAGTAGTGGTTCCACTACCTGATAAGCCTATGCTTATCGCATTGTCAACTAGTCGCTTACATCCCTAAAATACACCTTGAACTACAGTGTTTAGGCAAAAGTTTAGCTCCAAGGCTATAGATATGATAGTGCTTTGAGGCTCCTTTCAGGATCATTGGTCTCTTGTGCCTAGTTTTAAGGTCATGTCTGCATATATCCCCAAGAATTCCTCAGTGCCACCTGGCAAAGGGTTCAGAGAAGTTGCTGTTACAGACCAATCAGGCATGACAAGCTTACTAAACCAACAGTCTGCTTTCATAGTATTTATCTTTAAAGAATATCATGTGAGGCAGCAAATGAAAGGTGAGGATGTGCTGATCATTAATATAGTGAAATGTATATATGGACAGTATATAAGTAGTTGTGTGTATACTGAGATAAGGTTTTAAAAGTCTGTAATAAGGCAGAGTTGACCAACAGGTCTTCTGCCAGATCAAAGCATGTCTACTCTGACTATCTCTGTCTCCAGTGTAAATTAAACCTTGTAAAGTCAACACAGATAGCCCTATTTATATGTGAAAGTCAACAGGAAAAACAAATCAGTGGGGAATGTTAAACAAATCAAAGTATGGGAGACATGTTGCTTCCAGCACACCATGAAGGAAACCCCAAGGAGTCATCCTGACTCTGAGAGAAAACAATGGACTTTGGGGTTATAAGAGGAATGAATCAGGATTCTTCTTTTATCCTACAATTGAGTGGAACTGGGCAGTGCAGTTACATCTAGGAAAACAGGATCTTAAGCAACCTTGGCTAAACTAAAGGCTTAAGTGAGATAAGACTGTTTCAGACAAGGATTGCAGCCTAAGTTTTAATCTCTAAAAGCATATTCTACTTCTGTTTTATTTGTAACCTGCTGTTCTTATTAAACTTGTTTTTCACTATACATTGATTCAGGTTCTGTGTTACACTGGATACCCAGTTGAATCAAACAAGCTGTTATGTGTATGCTCTTTCCTTGGGAATAGTGAACCTGGTAATTACTGTGAGTTCTAGTGAGAGGAGTAGGCACTACGGGGAATGCTCTTCAAGGGTATTCAGGGCTTGGATGCACCTATTAACTTGCAAATTAAAAACAGTGAGCAGTCCTGTGTGGCATCTTAGAGACTAACAAATATAGATCATGAGCTTTTGTGGGTAAAACTCACTTCATTGGTTGGGGTTTTACCCACAAAAGCTCATGATATAATATATTTGTTGGTCTCTAAGATGCCACAGGATTGCTCATTTTTAAAGTTACAAACTAACATGACTATCCCTCTGAGACTTTTTGAAAATTCAGGGAGAACTTGCAGAGTCCTGAGGCGACTGGTTGCATGAAAGCAGCTTAGTTGTTGCCAACTCAGTCTCAGGATTTTAGACAAGAAGGATGAGGTAATATCTTTCACTACTTTTTATTGCTGGTCCAATAAGATATTTTCTCACTCACCTTCTCTTAGTGGTTGAAAGGCAGTCGGAGCATAAGGGCTGACAATCAGCTACCACCAGAAAGGTTCCTTAATGAGCGAGAGATAACAAGGTGACTCTGTCCTGGTTGCTCTGAGAAAGCATCACCTTATTATTAAACACGATGTTGAGATAGTAATATCGGGTGCATGATTCAGGTTTTTTGTTTTATTTGCAACCTTTTTACGCTGGCAAAAGCCATAGCGTAAGTGCGGTTACACAGGCATGGCGTGATAGGGAGATGAGGCTCAGAATGTTTTTATATGACAAAGCCCTGCAGCCTACAGAGCCAGGCTCTCATGGACTGAGCAAAGAAAAACGGAGAGCTTTCTCTCCTACTATGGCTCCTGCCCAAAGAGCTTTGCCAGCCAGTACCCTACCGCCAGCCCCAACAAGCAGGGTAAGTGTTGGGGAGAAACTGGGAACATCAAGCATTGCAAAACTGTGACTTAAAATGTTGCAGTATATGTGGTACTGGCACCGACCCAACACTTGGCACCGCCAGCCATGTCGTCCACGGCACTTATGCCAACGGTGCCGCACGAAATGACTCCACCGGAACTGATGGAGTTGCCGCCGACATCGGCGTCAAGACAATTGGTGCAGACATTGGCACCGACACAACCAACACAGAGATTGGCACAGACGTACTTGACACCGGCACCGGAAGGTGGTATAGAACAGCTGACACCGGAGAGAATGAATACTTTCCCGGCACTGAAGAAAGCATCTAAAAAATCAAATAGAATACACAAAATTAGCCCAGAACCACTTCATTTTTCACTAACACCATCATCACGCTTCCCTTCAGTACACTCTCCTGGGATGCAAACCAGCACGCTCAGCCAGGACAGACACTACAGATGGGTATCCAAGCGTTCGCACTTGCCACAACAGCCTGAGATGAGGCACACTTTTGTCACCTCCTCCATCACCAAGGGGATGTTTCAGATCATTACACTCGCCTGTGCTCTCTCCTCATACATACCAACATGAACAACGTATACCCCAACCTTCATCACAATATCACTCTCCCGAAGTCACCCCTATGAATATTCCAATCGATGTTCAACTCGCTGTCATCACCAAAAACAAATGTCAGCCTCCATGCTGTAGGGAATACCCACCTACACGCGAATATCCACCTACATGTAAATATTCTCCTTCTAGCTACGGACTAGAACCTACAATTTCCCCCTCCAGAACACACCATCAATCCAAACCCGAGGAGGGACAAAAATCAGACACAGAAGAACAGCAGCCAGACACCTTGCTGACCATCCAGTCACCATCATCACCTGAAGAAGCAGTTATTCCTAGCGATCAATCACCCCCTGATGACCTGAAACAGTTTCAGGAATTTTTAAAGAGAGTGGCTGCCAGTCAAGTGATCCAACTTTCTGAGGTCCAAGAAAAACAACATCACCGCCTCAAAAATCTACAGCCCTCGCAACACTAAAAAACTTCCATTCCTATAGACAAAGGTGTTACGGAGGTCGCTGATGAGATACGGCAGACTCCATCAATACCTCCATCAAATAAATGAGCAGACAAAGTATTTTGTCCCGCCTAAAAGGCGCTGAATTTTTATTTTCTCACCCACAACCTAATTCCCTAGTTGTGGATGCAGCTCAGCAAAGGGCAAAACTTTTATAATATAAAAATAATCTTGTGGATAAAGCGAGTAAGCGCCTGGACATCTTTGGGTGTAAGATGTACTCATCGTCAACCTTACTCCTTCAAATAGCAAACTATGCAGCATTACTTTCTAATCATAATTTTGACAGTTACACTAGACTTACTACTTTGGTTGAGCATTTACCAGACTCAAAAAGGCCGATCCTGAAATCCATTGTGCAAGAGGGATATGCCTCATCACGAACTTCTCTGCAGATAGCCTTAAACAGCTGATACAGCAACCCAAGCTACTGCAACAGGTAATGAGCAGGGCCTCATGGCTTCAGGCAGCCTCAGTTCCTCATGAACTGCAGACAGAAGTGGAAGATCTTCCATTTGATAAAGAAAAGCTATTCTCCAGAAAGACGGATGAAGTATTACACTCCAGTAAACATTCAAGAACTACCTTTTGGACTTTAGGTATGTACACTCCGCCATACCAATGTAGACAATATGTGCCGTACCAAAGACACAGAGAGTTCTCATACCAGAGATATCAACATAGAGGATTTGACCTGTCTAGACCACAACAACGTCCACAAAAGAGATGGCCTCAGAACAGCTGATTTTTCTCCCACAACATCTTTGGGTGTAAGATGTACTCATCGTCAACCTTA